AATTAAAAGAAATAATAATACTACATATATAATTAACTACAGAATGCCAAATGATTCAATTTATTTTCTCTAAATAAGATAATTAATAATTATTATTGCTTTCGAAAATTAAGTCAATTAGTTTTCACTAAACACAATTATTAATAATTATTTAATAAAGATATTATCACATACAATTAAAAGAAATTATATAAATATTTTTTTTTCCAGAAAACAATAGTATGTAATAATATTTTTTAATCATTATTGAACACGTGTTCTTGTTTTGATTTACTTTCATTGAAATAAGAAAAAACTGAAAATACTTGCAATAAGAGTGAAAATCATATAACCACAATGGAAAATTGAGGTCAACAATTTTTAAAGAAATCGAATAATCACAGAAATAAAATCACATTCATTACCTTTAAAAAAATAGATAATGATATTTTTTTTGTTCATCAAAATTGAATAGTAAGTAACTAAGTCCAAAATTTAATATAAATTTACTTCATTTTATCTCCTTTAAAATATAAATTTCATCACTTTACATCAGAGTGTTTTATATAAATCAATTTAAGTTTAATTACTTAAAATAGAAGCTAAATATATATAATACATATTCATAAAAAAATATTACAATAAATAAAGGTCTGCATTAATATAATCGTAGATTAATTGTGTTTGTGTTCCAATAATTTGTATGTGTATGAATATTTTTATATGATTTACATATTTGTGTTTATGTGAACTACAAATAAAATAATGAAAAGTCATGAAATGTTGATGAAAAAAAAAATTGTATTCGAAGAAGTGTTATTGAGTAATTAAAAGATTATATTTCATTTTATTCAATATTTTGACATTATATACATTTCCATAAAAAGCTTTTTTCATATATGATATATTCATTATATTTAATAATTATACTTTTTTCTTTAATATTATCATCTCAACAACCTCCAAAAAATAGTACGTATATAATTCACCCGATACATAAGACGTGCAAAGCAGGTACTTATTGCTAGTTCATTAAAAAGCATAATATTATAAATTATTCAGATATTAAATAATATTATAAATAAATAAAAAATAATTAATTAATCAAATATTAAATAAATATTAATATAAAATAATATTAAAATAAATATTAAATAGAACCCAACCTTTATGTTTCCCCTCTCTCTCTCTCTCTCTCTCTCTATGCGGATCAAAACCCTCCATCGGCTGCCCTTATCACCTCTTGAACTGCAATTTCATTTTTGGCTTCTCCAATCTGGATTTCTCTGTATGAATGAGTTCCGATCGGGAAATATTTACATCTAGAACTTTTTGATTGTAGAAAGGTTGGACATTTTTCTCTCTCTCTCTCTCTATGCGGATCAAAACCCTCCATCGGCTGCCCTTATCACCTCTTGAACTGCAATTTCATTTTTGGCTTCTCCAATCTGGATTTCTCTGTATGAATGAGTTCCGATCGGGAAATATTTACATCTAGAACTTTTTGATTGTAGAAAGGTTGGACATTTTCTTTTAATTTTTTTAAAATTCGGTATATTTATTTTAGAACTTTTTTCCATCTGAAATGTTTGAATGTTTTTGTTTTTTCGAACAATCCCTAGATCCTTGTGGAGCTTCGATTCCGAACGAAGCCCCTTTCTTAATAACAAGGTATTGTCTTTGTATTCTACAATGAAAATTAAATTTGTTTTGATAGTGAAGGGCATAAAAAGGATAGAGCATAAGTTTACTCCATCATTTATCACTTTTATGTACCTAAATTATTTTTATTTCATGTTTTTGTTGTGTGTTTTGGGTTCTAATTTATTACTTCTTTTTATTTTTTATTTTTTATTATTATTTTTTGAGTTCTGTGAAACTCTTACAGTGGAACATTACATTAGCAACAAAATTTAGGAGCACTGACCATTGGAACATCGATTTCATATTTGGTTTGTTTTAAATCTGTATGCATCATGACGTGGAGTTTTAAATCTTGTAAACATATTTAATTGCTCTTTTAATCTATGGTTGGATTCCGGAGAGTCTTTCTAAATTTAGTGATGAACACTTTAGAGGTTGAAAATATATACTCCAATAAGCATT